AGGAAGGACAGGTGGCTTGGTCTCAGTGGATTTTAGGGTGTAGAGTCCTTTCAATGCAAAGTGTGTGTGGTATGCAAAAGGCCTTCCCAAAGTTATCTCACTGAATACGCATAACAATGGGGTGAAAGTTACCTTTGTCTCCAGTATACCAGGGAGGAAGCTGAAGTTCCTTGAACAAGTGCTCATCTAGTCAGTCAACAAGTGTTTATTGATCATTATGCACCAGATACTGTGTCAAGCATAGGGAATACATCAATGAGCAGGGCAGACCTGTAGTCCCTGCCCTGATATCCTCAGGGGAGAGAGACTTGTTAAGCTACTAATATCACAATTAATTACTTAATTAAATTGTGATAAGTTCTGTGGAGGAAAAATAATGAGGGACTTAGGGGATCATATAATGAGGTACATGACTGCATCCCTGGGTCAAGAGAGACCTCCCTGAGGATGTGGGATTTGTGCTGAGATCTGAAGGCTCACAGGGAAGGTGAAGGTGAGGGGTGCCCCGGTCAAAGGAAGGAATGCATGTGAAGGTGCTTGGCAGGAGGACATAGGGCTTGCTAGTAGAACTGCATATAAGCCACTGGGGTTGGGCTGAGTGACAAGTGGAGAGACTGGAGAGGTGGACAGGGGCCAGATCATGCAAGGTCAAGTAAGTCGTGGTGCCAGCTTAGTGTTTGTCTTAGTAGTACTGGAAAGCCAATGAAGGCTTTAAACAGTGGGGTGACATGATTAGATTTGTATTTAAGATTACTCTGGTTGTTATGTGGAGAAGTTTGACGAGGAGCAAATGATGAAGTGGGGAAACAATCAGAAGGCTCTTACAGAGGTTTACGTGAGAGGTCACAGTGCCTTTGACTAGAGAAGTGGCAATGGAGGTGGAGAAACATGGAGAATGAGAGAGAGCGAGTATCAGGGAAGTTTCTAGGTTTGGCATTCAGATTAGTCTAAATTTGGCACATTTTGCATGGAATGTGGGAAGCAAGTTGGAAAAAGGCAACGTGTAATCTGCATTACAGTTGCAGCTCAATAGGAAGTCGGACTTGATTCTCTGTCAAGCACCATAGCCTCCAGAAAAGTTCTTCTCAGTCTCAGTTCCCAGCCCTGTGTGCCTTACTGGTGACGCTTAGGTCATGTGTTTTGCTTTTGCTGCAAAAGATGCTAGCTAAAGATGCTGGCTTTGTCCAGTTCTGTATTGGAAGGTAGGCTTTTCCTTTACTGAGGCTCATAAGGTAGGCATATTTCTCAAATGTAGAATGTGGGTTCATATGATACCAAAAAAACCAAACTCACTGCCGTGGAGTCAGATCTGACTCATAGCAACCCCTCCCTGGGTTTCCAAAGCAGTATCATTGTGGAAGTAGATTGCCCAACCTTCCTTCTGAGGAGTGGCTGGTGGGTTTGAACCACCAGTCTTCTGGTTAGTAGTCACATGCCTTAGGCACTACTCCACCAGAGCTCCCTAGGTTAATATGATGGAGGGCTAGAAAAAAAAGATAAGTTTCTTCACATTGATTATCATGCTACATGCTCACAACAATTTTGATAGGTTGAGTCCATTTTATCCCCATTATGAGGAAAAAACACCATTTCTTTCCCTGTGAAGCAGTGCTCTTTAAGGGCCCTTTCAGCTCTGCATGTAAAATGTAGTATAATGATGTGATTATCCTATAGCTCCATTCCTTCCAGCACTTTGCACAGTTCTACTCTTTGTGGAAGATCCAGATCCACCCAGTCTAGTTCTCATTTCTCTTCAACCCTCCAACTACTTCCTTGTACCTACCAAAAACCAAAACCAAACCCACTGCCATTGAGTCAATTCCAACTCATAGCAGCCTATTTATATTTACTGTAATATTATATAGGAGCTTTGGTGGTGTGGTGCCTAAGGCATTTGACTGCTAACCAGAAGGCTGGTGGTTCAAACTCACCAGCCACTCCTTAGAAGGAAGGTTGGAAAATCTACTTCCGTGGTGATACTGCCTTGGAAACCCAAGGAGGAGTCACTATTAGTTGGATCCGACTTGATGGTAGTGAGTGAGTAATATTACATATCTAATTATATTTACTGTAATATTTACTGTCCTCCCTGTGTTGATAGCCCTAATGGACTCTGTGGATGAAACAATCGCAGGGATCTTGAGCTGCTCAGGTTGGTCCATCAGACAATGGCAAAAGCTGCCCCTGCTCCTGGTTCTAATTGGATAATTTACTGTAAATAGCCATCATTTCCTCCAAGAGCCCATGGTTGTTAGTCAAATGGAGGTGAGCAAGGGCTGCCTCTAATGGGATGCAGCAGCAGAAATGAGCTGTCCAAATGGAGCTGTTGTCACAGTAGCCTTTGAGTTAAATCAGAGGCATTTAAGGCTTGAGCCCTTTCTTTTACACTAGTCACTACTGGTGGGGGAGGAACAGCCAAGAGTTCTGCAGAAACAAGACTGCAGGCATCATGGTGGGATTTTCAATGAACTATGTATGGGATCACCACAAGTCAGAATCCATTGACAACTGGCAACTGCTACTGCCAGGTAGGGCCCCAGGAAAGCTAATGCAGGGGTTACCCCTTCCCTGTTCATCCTACATATGCTCTTTTCACCCTGGTCACTGGGAAGCTCCTAGTGAGCTTCTGCTCTAGCTGTATTGCTCAACTCCTCCTTCCAAGAGGAGGGATGTTCCCTTTTTTAGGTTACCATGTATCAAACTCAATATTAAGGACTTTTGCAACTCATTAAATCCTCATGCAACTCCTGGGTTGTTGTAGTTGTTATGTGCCGCTGAGTTGGACTGACTCATAGTGACCCCTCCTTGGGTTTCCAAGGCAGTATCACTACGGAAATAGATAGCCCAAACTTCCTTCCGAGGAGTGGCTGGTGGGTTAGAACTGCCAGCCTTCTGGTTAGCAGTCAAGTTCCTTAGGCACTATGCTAACAGAGCTATAAATTTGGGGGAAACCATATTCAGAGAGAGTGGGAGATTTTCCCAAGGTAATCAAGAACAGAGTTAGGGTTTGAATCCTGGTTTATCCAGCTTAGAGGCAAGGGGGTTACTTTGAATGCACTCTTGGTTTCCTGACTTGCTGTGTAGCCTTGGAGGGGTTTTTCCTCTGGGCTTCTGCTCAGTAGGAAGTCAGACTTGGGTGGGGTGGCTGCAAGGACAGCTGACTGAGGCTATAACTTTGTCATGGGATTTTCTCTGAGGCATGAACCCTTGAAACAGGTCTCTCTATAAAGCTAGTGACAGTCTGAGGTTATAGCTGGCGAAGTGATGTGTAGAGCCCAGAACTCTGTCCATAACACTGTCACCAAAGGGGTCAATGAATGAAGAATAGAAGGGAAATGTCCCCCCCACTGTCTATACCCCTCCTCCCGGGTTCAACCACTTGAGGGCAGTGTTTGCTCTTTGCTCTTTGCTCTTCCCCCCCCCCCCCAGAGGGCTGTTCTTCCATCCATTAAAGGCTGACACTAGATGAAGCTGGAGAACTCAGCCTGGGAAGTGGGAACAATGGGAGGTGGTGGTGAGAGAAAAGAGTGAAGGGGTAGGGGTTGGGTGTTACCAGCTGGCAATGATTCAGGAGTTCAATAATCAAGGACCCAGACTTTTTTTCTCCATGTGCTAACTTTGTTCTCTAGCTTGGTCCTTTCATGATTACAAAATGGCTATCAGCAGCAATAAGCCTCATTCAAGTCCAATGGGAGAGATACTCTCTTAACCTTGTGGTTCTCTGTTAGGTGAAAGACAACTTTTTCTAGAAGCACTGCTATCATGTCTCATTGGCTCAAATTGAGTTACATGTCTGTTCCTGAACAAATCACTGGCAGTTTGGGTGAAATTACATCATCTGAAGTGGAATGGATTTGAGGAAACTACCACAGTGAACATTACAAAGTCACATTTTCCAAGAAAGCACCAGGCGTAATCAAAGTGAATGACCCAGTGCTGTGGGCATATATACCTAAGAAATTAGCATATAGAGTTGCCAGATGTAGAAAATAATACAGAATGCTCAGTTTAATTTGAATTCCGGAAAAAGCATGGATACTTTTTCGGTAAAAGTATGTCGCAAGCAGTAGTTACTGCTGTGTATACCAATATTTAGTACATACTTAAGAAAAAAAATTATTCTTTGTTTATCTGACATTCACATTTAACTGAGTGCCCTATATTTTATTAGCATGGTATTAAGGAAAGTGCATAGGTTTGGGCATAAAATTGACTCAAGTTTATATATTGAATGTGCCACTTACCAAAGATTTTAAGCAAGTAGTTTAATGTCTCAGGTCTCAATTCTCAATTGTCCGATCTTTAAAATAGGATGATGATACTTAGCTCATTGAGTTGATATGTGGATTTAACAAAATTTAATGAGACACTACATGTGAAAGCCAATACAATGAGATAATGCAGGACTTAGCATATTATCTGACACACAACATTTAATATTTTTATGCAACTATATGGCATAGTAGGTCTTCAGTAAGGATTAGTTCATTCTACCCACCATCCTTGGGCAAAGTCTTTGCTCCACTATGAATTTCTTTTGTTGTAGTTTTTATTAATAAATATTTGGCTTTATGGACAGGCAAGTGGGCTCGCAGTAACACAAACTAGGGGACATAGTGAGAGGCAGGAGAGGGTATTCAGAGCCAGAGAGGGGCTGGTACCAGCTGGAGAAATTCCAGAGAGTAGCTCAGTGGAAGTGGAGGTCCCCAGAAAGCCTAGGACCTATGGAGAATGTTTGCAGTAGTTTCCAGAATGGGTCTGGCAAATGTTTGGCCATGGGACTTAAGATTATAGAAGTTCATAGTGGAGTAGTGACTTATAACCAATATCAAATCTGAGTTCTGCCTTACTTGTGTGAACACAGTGGAGTACAAACTAGTTTTCAAAGGAAAGCAGGGGTAGGTGACCTTTCCTCCACACCTGCTTTGGCTCTTCGTGGCTTGGACCCAGGCAAGATCTCTCAGGCCCTTTCCTGACCATGTCCTGCCATGTCTTTCCAGGGCCCCGACCACTGTGGGCAGGCCTTGCTGCACATTGGGATTAACATGATGGCACTGCCTGGAGGCCACCACCTGGACTCCATCCCCCTGCCGGGTCAGCGGTAAGTCTTATGGCCATCTTTCAGGGGCAAGCCTGCCATGTGTGTCCAGCCTGCCACCTGGGCCCAGCCCCGTGATCTGACCTGAAATTGCAGATGGCCCCATTGCTCTGTGCACTATCCTGAGAGGAAGCCTAGGAGAAGGGACACAGTGGTATCAGAAACACCCCACCGTCAAGGAGCTGCTGCCTAAGGTGGAGGCAAAAGATGAAACAAAGAATGGAGTAGGGTGTGCTGTGTGCTGAGATAAGGGACCCCAGGAAGACACCTCATTTGGCTTGGGCCAAGGGGCCAGAGGGAGTAGAGGTCCTGGGGTTAGTGATGGCCTCCTCTGAGTCTCTTGGAGGGTAACAATGTACATTTAGATTTCTTCTCCATTACCCAGAACACCAGGGAGGGAACTGAGCACAGAGCGGATCCTGCGGCAGTATGTGTTGCCCTGAGTTGGGCAGTGTGGAGTGGGGAGGGAAGGATGCCTTCAGCAGAAGGTGAAGCCCAGGGGATGAGGTAAGAAGAGCCTGGGATTTTAGTCTGAGGAAGGAACTCAGGGCACCAGAGAGGACTTTGCACAGCAGAAAGGCATGGATAGGCAGGCATCATTTGACCTCTTGGCTCTGGAGGCCTGAACCAGAACCAATGTGGAAGTGCCAGGGTGGCAGATCTATGGTGACCAACTATCCTGGTTTGCCTCATACTGTCCTGATTTTAGCCCTAGAGATGCTGCATTCCAGACACCCTTCAGTCCTGGGAAGTGGGGCATTGGGTCACCTTAATACATGTTTAGTCTATATAGGAATTTTGCAAACTCAGCTGCACACACAGAGCTCTCTCCACAAGGGTTGGTAGTGAGCTCCCCATGACTGCAAGCATGCGAGCAGAGGTTGTAAGATAGAGATAGTAACCCACTTCTTAAAGCTTCTACTTCACCTTTTTCTTGTTGAGACACTTTGAGGGGGCCATTATGAGGCAACATTATCCAAGTAGCTCTTATAAGAGTGTTAAATCTTTTTTTTTAAAGTGTTTTCTTTGCAGTATTTTGTTTTGTGTATTATGTGTGTCACAGACATCTTACTTTTACTCTGTCTTTAACCCAATGAGTATGAGTAAGGTTTGACTTGACAGCAACTGTTCCCTCCCCACCAAATTTACTACGTCATTCATTTCTATGATGTTTATTTGGTTCCTGAGTATTTTTTTTTTAGTGTACCTTACTTTTTAGATGATAAAGTATTATCAAATATTTGTTAAAAGCCTAGTAGAGCTTGGTTAGCCTTGGCATGGGTATCAATCCACTGCCCCAAGGCCATTATTATAAAGAGGTTTAAGGATATGAATACAGTTCATGCATGCTAGAAATGTAACTAAAAATTTCCTGTGTAGTCTGAAGCTGAGACTCAGGGATCATATGGAGCCCCGTGTATCCTTCCGTGCAGTGTCTCTAAAATAAAATTCAGAAAATGTGAGATGCAGACAAGTCACAGTACAGAAGACTTCCCCGAGAAGGAGTCTGCACTTTGCCTGGAATGGCTGGTGGCTTTTCATTAGATGAGCAAATGCAGTCAGCTTTTGATGCATGCCTACTTGCATTCATTCCACTGGATACCACTGTATCTCATTGCCCAGTTCTTTTGATGTAGCCCTTACTAGTTGTGCAGCCTTGGGAAAGCTCCTGAACCCCATCAGCTCCTCAGTTCCATCATGTATAAAATAGGGGTAAAAATGCTACCAGGTGGGGAGGTGGCATGGGGCAATGGTGGTTCAGTGTTAGAACTCTTGGCTTCCATGAGGGAGACCCAAGTTCAATTCCAGCCAATGCACCTCATGCACAGCTACCACCTGTCTGTCAGTGGAGGCTTGTGTTGCTATGATACTGAACAAGCTTCAGCAGAGCTTCCAGACTGAAATGGATTGTGAAGAAAGCCCTGTCAATCCACTTCTGAAAACCATCCATCGGAAACCTGATAGATCATAACAGTTTGATGCACACCTGGTCAGGGAGATGGCTCAGGACCCGGCAGCGTTTTGTTCCACTGTGCATGGGGTTGCTGTGATTTGGCAGCCAATTTGATGACAACTAACACGGGGCCGACTCGGCGGCAAATAACAACAACAAACAACAACCAATAGCACCAATAGAACCTATATTATAGGGTTGATGCATGGATTAAATGAGTTAATTCATGCAAAGCACAGTGTCAGTAGCCATCAGAGAGCTATTGAAAATCCATGTCAGGGGTTGATGGGGCTTTTCATGTAGGTGATCTTAGGAAATTCTTCCAGAAACCCTACTCCTGACTTCTCACTCTAGGAGGACGGCCTCACTGAAAACATATGAAAACAAGAGAAACACTCCCTACAGCTTAATATTGAAACCAGTAAAAAGAAGAACTGTCCTGGAGGAAGTAGAGTCTTTTTTCTCTGCTTCTGTCCTACTCGTGTGGTAGGCTGGAGACCAGCAGCCAGAAAGGTAGCAGCTGCTCTGGCAACAAGGCTTTGGGTCCCTTTCACAGAGCCTCTTACGTTCTGGGGAGGTCTGATCCTGTCCTGGAGTGGGGAAGCCATCCTCCCAAGACAATGTAGTACAGTGGTTAGGAGTCCAATGGCCTCCACTTGATTATTGATTTTGCTACTTATTAGCTAGAACCTTGGCCTCAATTTCTTTATCTATACAATGGGAATATTTATACTTACATCATTGGACTGTGATGAGAATTGAGATAACGTGTTTAAAGCACCTGTCTGGCATATAGAAACTGCTCCATAAATATTAACTTCTCTTTTCTTCAAATGAGAAATAGGTCTCCTGAGTAGAGAATAAGGAGCAAAAGTAGACCAGAATGTGGCCCTTCTTTTTTTTTATCTAGGAAATCTCTGATCTCTTTTTCTCTCATTTCCAGCCTTTACAGAAATTTAAAGGGTAAAGGAAATTAAATCACATGAAAATGATTTAAGAGCCAAATGATTATTTCTTTGAAGGCAGAGTGGGGTTTCTAACTGATCTTGGACAGCAAATAGCTGGTGAGAAAAACCCGGAATAGCATGACTCCAAGATTTCTGGCTGGCCCTAAATGTAGCCACCTAGAAAATAAATATTTAAATAGGATACCTCAGGCTTGCCATTCCAATAGGGTAGGGTAGGCTGCAGAACTAGGGGAGTATCTCCTTTAAGACATCCACAGCCTGGTCTTGCCAGATCTATCCAGCTCATTGGAGGAATCATCTCAGGGTCTCTGAACCTGTTCATTGTGTATGTTCTGGGGGCATGTACCTGGGCCATGTTCCCAGAGAAGGCATGTGTGTGTTTATGGGATGTTAGAGAGGTTAATTTGTCCAGTTTGATGCTGCATTGTAGGCAGACAATAGTAGCCACCTCTTCTTCCTTCCTTTCAAAGCTGCAGAGGCTCTCTCACAAGGAATAACACCATGGTTATTGTCCCCAGATAAATAATTAATGCTGGATAATTGACTTCTTTCTGTTGTGTTCCACTGAAACTGAATTTCACTCTGCAGTGCCATTGTTCTCTCAATGTATCTCTGCCGTGCACCCCTCGCAATGCTGTTAAGTTGCGGTGTGGGTAAATCACCTGAGTTAACCCAACCAAAACCCACTGCCATCAATTGATTCCAACTCATAGCAGCCCTATAGGACAGAGTAGAACTGCATCAAAGGGTTTCCAATGCTATAAATATTTATAGAAGCAAACTGCCTCATGTTTCTCCTGCATGGCTGCTGGTGGGTTTGAACAGCTGACGCTTTGATTAGCAGCTGAATGCCTTAACCACTGCATTACCAGAGTTCCTCTCGTAAGGGCTAGGTGCAGCCTTCTTGCAGAAGGGTAAGAGCAGCAGGTTGGGATCAAGTGTTGAATTGACATAGGCAATAGGAGGTGGTTTGATAGGGTGTGGTGGTTTTCAACTCTGATTTCATCTAAATCTCTTGAGGAGCTTTCATATTTAAAAGCAAAATAAAATAAACAAGCAAAGATCAAAATCTTACTCTTGGTATCTTTAATGTGGGCCTGAGAGATTGAAAACATACAGACTTTGGAATCAGATTTGGGTTCAAATCCCAGCTCAACTTCTTACCAGCCCTGTGACCTTGGGTGGCTGCTTAAACTGAGCAACAGTTTTGTCTTCTATAACATGTAGACAGTGATAGCTGTTTGAAAGGGTTGTTATGAGTACTTGGGTCCAGAAGGAAGAGCTCTCCAAGCCTCCACTGTACTTTGAAATACAAAACCCACACCTCTCCAAGCCATGCTAATAACACTAACAACCTCCCTCCTTCAGTCATGGAAACACTTGCAAACTTAACACTAAATACCTCCCTGGAGGTTCCAGGATTTATTGGTGGGAATGGAGGGGACAAGAGATCACTTCTCTGGAAAGCAGGAAATGGTGGCTGCTATGTCCCTAGCTGGTCTTTGTTTCTTCTTAGTGTCTGGGCTCCCATCTTCGCACTCAAGGCATTGATTCCCCTGTTGGCTCTGGGAATGGTGGTGATGGAGCTGGGACTTAGCATGGTGGTGAGTCATGGTGGTCAGTTGTAGCAGTCAGTGTGTTGACCCCAGTCTGTACATTCTCAGGGTTATGCCTTCCTCTATCACAGACCTCATTTCCTTCAGGGATCCTGATGCCCAGTGCCTATGGGTAGGTTCTTAGGGAATGACTTGGAGGCCAATCTGAGAGTCACACACAAGGTTATCTTCAGACATCCCATTCAGTCTTTCCTTTCACTACTTAATAGATCAAGCTGGGACATCTCTCTAGGCTTCTACTAGTGAGAGGTCAAAGTGAGGATATTGATTAAAGGGCTGGCTTTTACCAATCCCAGTAACAAAGTTGACTTACCTTTATTGAGCATTTGCTATGAGCTAAGTACTTCTATATTCAGTAATTCATCTTCACTAAATATGTATCATTATTATTATTATCTATCTTTTGCAAATGAGGGGTCACAGGTTGGGCTTATCTCTTTTCAGATGCAGTCTAGAGCTCAGGAC